ATATATATATATATATATATAAAAGGGGGGGGGGGGGATTAATAGAATTAATAGCTAAAAAGAAGGAAGAAAGGTTTATATAATATATTATATAAAGTAAAACTAAAATATACTAAGTAGGGTAGCTATATTTAGATATAAGAATAACCTATATTTATTATAAGGATAATATATATCTAAAAAATATAATAGCCTACTTATATATATATTATTTTATATCTAACTATATACTAGGTGTGAATTAGGATTTAGCGACAACTCACCTATAGGCTGCCGTATATTAGCCGATTCCGTACCAAGGACAAGCTCATGGGCACGAATTGTGCCAAGCCTTCCCCATCGCTTTGATGCGATCAAAAGAAGGCTGACCAAGTTATCGCTTGGCAAATCGGCTAGTGAATTCAATGGGACGCCTAATTATCTTTACGTTTGTAAGCCACGTAGCTTCTGTAACGAACTCGCCAATGTTATCAAAACAGTTGTTGGACGACTATGCAGACTGCTTACCGGATTATGTATCAATTCATGACCGCGCAATATGCTTTTGTTGCATAACATGTGTGCGACAAGGCATGCCATGATTGGCAGATCCTCTTTAGCGGAGAATTCTCCCAGCCTCACCGGCTGACCGTTTTCCGGGTCGGACCACCCGTCGCTGCCGCATATCCATCCATAAATAGCGCCTTGGGCCTTCTATCGTTCAAGATTCACAAATGCAACTGTTGGGAGCGAAGACCCTCGCAACCAAAGTTGCACATTTCGAGCCATGCAGTCCGACAGCACAGCCACTCCGCGCGAGACGGATGCGCTCCTGCGCCGCGTCGCGCCGAGCGATGCCGCCGCCGCCGCCGACAACGGCCGGCGGCAGCTCGAGTCGCGTCTCTACATCTCCCACACGCTATCTGCGTGGAACTCGCGGCTTTTTGAGTTCGGCGCCGTCCTGTTCCTCGCCTCCATCTTCCCGGACACGCTGCTGCCGATGTCTGTGTATGCGCTCGCGCGGAGCGTGGCGGCGGTGGCGCTCGCGCACCCGGTCGGCGCGTGGATCGACCGCGGGAACCGCCTCGCCGTCGTGCGCGCGTCCATTGTCGGCCAGCGGCTGCCGGTGGCGGCGAGCTGCGGGATCCTGTGGCTGCTGGAGCAGCAGCAGCGGCCAGGCGGCGGCATGATGATGGCGACGGGCAGCGTTGCGGGCTGGATGGCGCTGCTGTGCGCGCTGGCCGGCGCCGAAAAGGTGGCCGCCATGGCCAACACGATTGCCGTTGAGAGGGACTGGGTCGTGGTCATGACGGGGGAGGACGATGGTTGGCGGCGAGGTGCGCAAGGCTCTCTCCGAGCTCGGCGTTGAACGGATGGCTAACTGGGAGTGAATAGTCATTAATGCCCGCATGCGTCGGATCGACCTACTCTGTAAGCTTCTCGGGCCGCTGGCGATATCCATCATCGCCACCGTGTCGACGCGGTTTGCCATTGGAGCTACGCTTGCTATGAATGTGGCCTCGGTGTTCCTTGAATACGGCTGCATCGCCAAGGTATGGCAGCTGCGCCATGTCTGTTGACCTAGATTTCTAACAGAAACAGGTATATAAAAGCGTGACAGCGTTACAAAACGCAAACGTCAACCTTCCTTCGACCCAGAATGCCGCGTCGCCATCTGCTACCGCTCGCTTCAAGACCTTCATTACGGCCATTGTCCCCGTGGGATCCCTTTCCGATTACTTCCGCCACTCGGCCTTTCTTCCCTCCTTCTCGCTCTCACTACTCTACCTCACCGTCCTCTCCTTCTCGGGCCAGTTCATCACCTTTCTCCTGTCCATTGGCTTCACGCCGCTGCATGTTGGCATCGCCAGGACCGGCAGCACCGTCATCGAGCTCAGCGCCACGTGGGCGGCGCCGCGGCTCATGAACTACATGGGCCCCGTCCGCGGCGGCATCTGGAGCCTCAGCTGGCAGATGATTTGCCTGACGCTTGGGCTCAGCGTCTTTCTCCGCGACGGCTTCGGAAGCGAGGCGCATCACGCGTGGACATCTGTCAGCGGCTTGATCGTGTGTATTGCGCTGAGCCGGCTCGGTCTGTGGGGTTACGATCTCTGCGCGCAGACCATTGTCCAAGAGGTTCGTACACAGACTGTCTGCTGTTGTCCGGAACGGAAGCATTTGTCACTAACACGTTTACGCAGGAAGTCGAAGACGGCAACCGAGGTGCCTTCTCGAGCGTGGAGGCGTCCTTTCAGAACTTGTTTGAGCTGCTTTCTTTTGCGACCACGATTGCTTTCTCGCGCCCAGAACAGTTCCACTGGCCCCTGGTCATTAGCATTGCAGCGGTATACGTCGCCGGTGGACTGTATGCATTCTTTGTGCGACGCCGTCGCGGGCACTTATTCCACCCGCCTGCTTGCCTCAAGATAGAAGTAGAGAACTAAGATGAAGGCACGTCGAGTGTGGATTTTAGAAATGTTAAAATTGGACGGGAGAAGGTCGCATATAACCATCACCGGAAGCATTGTTTCAACTGGCTCGTATCAGTGAAAGAATTGGGTGTGCGCCTGAGACAATGGCGTCGATTTTGCGTCTTGGCGCACACAGCCGCAATGGTAGGCTTCCAGAAGGGCACGACTCATGCATATTTGCGAGCGCGAGTCACGCGTGGGCAACGTCGCAAGACTGTGTAGGTCAGGCATTGGTTGATGGTTGCAGGATCAATGCGAATTTGGTAACGTATACTGCACAATAGCCACTCATTCAACTCGGCTGCTGCTTTCGCCAGAGAGGACAGTCTCGATAGAATTCTAGGCCGATCGGAACACTAGTGATTTTTGGTGGTGTCCCATCTGGAACACCTCAATAGACCCTGCGCCTACGGCAGCCTATAGGTGAGTTGTCGCCAAATCCCAATTCACACCCAGTGTGTGGTTAGATATGAAATAATACGTACGCAAGTAGGCCGTTATATTTTTTAGATATATATTATCCTTATAGCTAGTTAGCAGCTAGTAAGCTAGCC